GCATCTCTCTTAGGGCTAGGGATTTTGAGCATTTCTTCATGTGTTTGTTAGCCATCTGAATGTCGTCTTCGGTGAAGTGCCTGTTCATATCCTGTACCCATTTTTCTATTGGATTATTTACCTTTATCTTGTTGTGGTGCTCAAGTATTTTGGAGAGTGTAGTTTTCTTTTCACTTAATCCTTTTGATTTGCTCAGTGCTTGCACTGTTAAAAAAGGCATGTTAGAGCACTTGACCTGTTGAATCTTATCATTATCTTCAAAGGTACCAACCTTCATCTTGTTTGATTTGTTAAAGTCACTGTAATAGCATTCCGTTTTGACCTTAGCACAACCATTTTTATTTTTTTTCTCACTGTCACTGTTTTCAGACATTGTGGCTTTCTGAAAATGTTCCTTCATGGTTCTAGTCTCACAGAGGCACTCCACATGACCAGTATTGGGGACAGGAAACATTTGTTTTAGACAACATGTATGTGTGCCCGCAAGTGTGCAGGGTTTCTACAGAGTATGTCTGTTTAGGATGGGCTCAGGGATGCTTGTTGGCTGGCGTAGAAGCTGGGCTGGCAGGCTGGCTCGGCTTTTGATTAACAGGGACCGCTCCACCTCTCTCCTCCACCAACTCAAACAAGGCTCCTCCTCAGGGCTGCCCAGGCTGCCTGTTAGAACTTGGGTGTCTTTGACTTTTGGGAGCAGGTTTATTGGCTTTAACTCAGCCATCAGTCCTAGTCCTGTGACATCCCAGGAGTCACTGATTAGGTCTAAGTCTTTCATAGAAAATGACAAGTCTGGCTGCACCTGGGAGTTCTTGATTAATGAACAGAATGGTCCCGGTATTTTTAACATTCCGTATTTTGTAGATGAGGCAGCGTGGCATGCAGCAGAAATCACATCAGGCTGGTTATTTACCCGACAGTCTCATGAGCACCTTGAGAAATGAGGGGAGTGGGTAGAATGATAGCAAAATAGGTGTAACTGTCCCAGAGAGTCAGCTCATCCTCAGTCCTGTGAAGATGATCTATTATCAGTTTACTAGCAAGGATGCCAGGTAAATGTGATTCAGCTGAGATCTGTTTAATATAACTAGAAAATTCACTTGACTAATTTTGAGCAGAAGGTCATGGCGTTAAGATTTTCCAGGTATGTATGAACTGGGCCCTTGGTTGGGTTCAGAGTAACAGTGGTCATATCCCCCGTGTCTCCCCCAGCGTTCAATTCGGGAGAATGTATTTATTAAATATTTGCTTCAATTTCATTAGCTTAATATAGTTGTGTTTAATTCCATTTCAACTTCCTTGTTGGGGATAACAGCCTATAAAGTAAATATTGATTTTATATGATGGAAGGACTACCAGGAAGAAGACTCAACAACCTGCATTGTGCAGATGGTGTGACCTTACTCACCAAAAGTGAGCGAGGGCGTGAGGCATTTGCTGCAAAAGATCAATGTGGATGACAACTCAACATCAAGAAAACAAAAATCCTCATCACTGGTCAGTGGGCAACATCATGATAGATGGAGAAAAGGTTGAAATTGTCAACAATTTCCACTTGCTTGGATCTACAGTCAACACCCTTGGTACCAGGAGATCAGAAGACATACAGCATTGGGAAAGTCTGCAGACAGGGATCATTCCAAAGTCCTGAAGAACAATGAGTGTGCCTGACTCAAACCTCCGTCTTTCCAGTCACTTGCTATGCATCTGAAAGCTGGATAGTGAAGGACTACGACAGAATTGATGCATTAGTTGTGGTGCTGGAGAAGAGTGCTGAAGATCCCGTGGGCTGCCAGAAAAACAAACATGTGTCTTGGAAAAAGTACAACCAGAGTGCTCTGTGGAGGCAAGGATGGTAAAGCTTCCGCCTACGTATTATGGACATGTTAGGAGAGGCCATTCCTTGGAAAGGAATGTCATGCTTGGAAAGGTGGAGGGTCAGCAAAGGAGAGGAAGACCTTCAACCAGATGGACTGGCACAGTGCCTATAGCAAGGGGCTCAAATGTGTCAGGGATGATAAGACCTGTACAGGATAGGACAGGGTTCAGATCTATTGTTCCTAGGGTCACTATGAGTGGTACTCAACAGCACTTAACAGTGACACCTGAGCCATTATACTTTATTTGAGTACAAATTGTTAATCAAATCAACAATTGTTATCAAC